ATTTTCTATAATAACCTGCCAAGCCTAGGAATGACCTCAATTGCTTGACAGAGCTGGGGGTAGGCCACTCCTGAATGGCTGTGATCTTACTAGGAGTCGTAGCTACTCCTGCAGCATTAATCACATGGCCTAGATATTCCAATTCCGTTTGAGCAAACAAGCACTTGGACTGCTTAACAAACAAGCTATTTTCTTTGAGAATTGCAAAAAATTCCTTCAACAGCTTCTCATGTTCTTCTAATGTTTTAGTGTATATTAGAATATCATCCATAAATACCAATACTCCATGTCTAAGTAATGCAGCAAAAAGCAGATTCATCACCGATTGGAAAGTGGCTGGGGCATTGGTGAGACCAAACGACATTACTTTAAACTCCCAATGCCCATGATGAGTCTTGAATGCTATTTTGAACTCTTCCCCTTCCACTAACCTAATCTGGTGATATCCACTGCGGAGGTCGAGCTTGGTAAAATATTTAGCCCCTGCCAGTTCATCCAACAACTCTTCTACCAATGGAAGGGGGTACTTGTTGTTCACTGTGAGAGCGTTAAGATATCTGTAGTCCACACAGAAACGCCATCCCCCATCTTTCTTCTTGACCAAAATCACCGGAGAAGCAAAGGGGCTGTTGCTTACACGGATGACTCCCCGGGTTAACATATCTTTGATCTGTTTCTCTATCTCATCTTTTTGTGCAGGTGTGTATCTATATGGCTTCTTCTGTACTGGCACTGCCCCTGGTATGAGTGGAATTGAATGATCAAATGGTCGAGAAGCAGGTAGTTAAGTGGGCTCCTGGAAGGTGTCTGCATACTAATCAAGAACATTCTGAATGTTTTTTGGTGGTTTTGTCACACTTGTCATTTCTTTGTTCCTATCCAATTGAATGATTTGGGCTACTGCTCCCTGTTGCACCATGAAATTGAGCTCTTTGGTGGAAATCCTCGGACGGTGAGTAGTGTTGTACTTGACACCTCTGAGGGTAATCCTTTTTCCTTCATGCCAAAACCGCATGGTTTTCAGACGCCGGTCTATCCACATCTTGCCCTGTCCACATGCTTCGAGCCAGTCCATACCAACAATCATGTCATAGCAATTCACGGGTAGTACCCTCACATCAGTGATAAATTTGTGTTGTTGCATACCCCAGCTGAGGTCGGAAATTCCTGAAGTGCTAGTCATTTTGGAGCCATCAGCAATTGTGACATTGACTGCAGGTAAGGTAGTGACAGGTAATTGCAACAGAGAAACTAAATCAGAGTTAATAAAATTCCCAGAGCTACAGAATCAACCGGAACCAACACTTGATGTTTGCCGATGTATCCTTGGAGGTGAATAGTCTTCTTTGATTGCACTCCAGAAGTGGCTGCCACAGATAGGCTCATAGCTTGCTCTTCAGAAGTGTCACTGTCCGATGCAGAATTATCCTCCACTGTAACTGATATATTTTGCTCTATTTGTAAAGCCTCTAGTAATTCTTCAACAACTGCGAGTGAAACTTGGTTTGGATATTTATGTTGTGGACTGTATTTACCTCCACATTTGAAACATTCTCCTCTAGCTTTGCGCTGGGCCCTTAGACTGATCAATTTATTAACTGGTTGCTCTGGTGCTGAACTTTTCTGCACTTCAGTTTGAGCTTCGGCCGGATGTGGCCCCAATTGACCTGTTCCAGCAGAATTATGCCATTTCTTGGGTT